TGTACTCCAGCGCGCATCCTCTGTGGTTTCTGGCACATGATCTCACTTAGAATTCAATGTTATTTTTGCGTGATAGGTAGCCCCTCCCTTGACACTATTTAATATCCTAAAAAATGCCCATGCTGTCTAAGCCACTGCTGTCTAAGCCACTTCTTTTTATTTTTATTTGTCAATTTTAGAGAAAGAGAGGAAGGAAGGTCGAGAGAGACACAGAGAGAGGGAGAAGCGCTGATTTGTTGCTCCACTTACTGGTCGGTGACTGTATGTGCCCTGCCTGGGGATCGAACCCACAACCTGGGCGTATCGGGAAGACGCTCTAACCAGCTGAGCCACCCGGCCCGAGGGAGTCGCTTCTGTGTCTGATGATGGACTTTCTGTCAGTCCTTTGTGTACAAGTGTTTCCTTTAATTCAGTTGCTACTGCCGTATGTGCAGTGAAAATGTGTGAAGCACCTGAAGCCTTCCCACCAGGTGATGACCGTGGGCCACTGTCTAACCTCTCTCGGTATCAGTTTCCTCTTCTGGCAAATGAGGGTCATAATAATCGCTACCTCAGAATGCTTAGGTCAGGCAGCCGGGGTCCTTGCATTTGTGATTTCTGTGTGTATCCATATTCCAATTGATTACTATTTTTTATTAGGAAGGTGGCTTGTATTAATGCCTTTCTTTCTTTGTTAGTCTGTTTGTTTTCCACAAAGTGAAGATCTATGTGTTATTTTTGTGTTGAGTTTTTCTAACGGAGGCTATGGTAGCGAAGGGAGGGCTTCAGGAGATAGACCGACTCTCGTGATCATTGGCATCTAGTAGCCCATTTGAGGAAGAATGTTCTTTCCACCCCCGGCACTTGTCTCATCTTACAACAAAAACAGAGTCTTTCGACAGAAATGTTCATTCACTAAGAGCTGCGGTTCGCTTCGTTCCTGGTTCTACGTTGCAGGGGCATAGAGAATGGGCTCTCCGAAGTCCTAATTTGATTTTTGTGTCCATCCCTAATAGCTGTAAAATTATGGGGCAGCTATGTAATTCCTCCTTAGATCAGTCTTCTCATCTGGAAATAAAATGATAAGAGTTTTATCATCTCGTAGGAGTCTTCTAAAGAGTAAATGCATGAATGCAAGTAAACCCTTAGAATAGTGCCTCTCACATAATAGGAACTCAATAGATGTTAGCTATTTTATTGTTAAAGAAGTATTAAAATGTCATGATGAACATACAAGACATTTGTTTAAAGAATTGATACCACTGAATTTAAAAAGCCTTTTTAAAAAATTGATTTCAGTGAGACCAAATAAATCTTCAGGTCAGCTGGCTACATAAAATAAAAAATCTGTTTGATCAGGAAGTAGAAATCGTAGGAATTGGTAAAGCAGATTTGTAATCTTTCGGTAGTTAATTTCACATTTAGTATTTGTGAAACAATTATCAATGTTTTAAAATAAATTATATTCTATAAGTATGTTTTTGTTGTTATAATATTACTTAATAAATCTATGATTACAACCCACCATTGCAACCATATATACTGTTATATTAGCAGAAAAGTCTATGATTTTATTTGCTATGAGTTATCCGTTATTATCTTTATTTTGAAGAACTGTTAATGCTTTCACTAAAAATGTTCATATTTTATCTTTTTATTTACTTCAATAGATTCAGAGGTGGTGGCGCGGCTATAAGATCCGGAAATACTGCTTCAATTATTTTTATTTAAAGGAATACCTGAGAGCTGTTTCAGAGACCAATGATGCAGTTAGGTGAGTCGTGTAATCACTAGTCTACTGGTGAAAACTTTAGAAAAGTTATTCGGTGGGTGTTGGTCATTCTCATAATTAGAAATAATTTCTAAAACTCACTGATATCTCAGGCAGAGATTTATTGATAAGATAGAGCTATGATTCTATTTAACTTAACATTTATTGTTACATATTTAAATATGTTACACTCCTGACAGTAAATTAGATTATATTATGCCTTGGTTCTATGCAAAATAATTCCATTTCAAGAAAATTATTTCATTTAAAATGAGTTGATCTATAAAGTTAGCTATGTCCTTAAGTACCGTAAGCCTCAGATGTGTTTTGAGAAACGTGTTCATTAGCAAGAACTTGCCTCTCATGGAAGAAAATAAAATACCGTGGCACATAACACGGGACCACGTCACTGTCAGTGTCTGGTCCTTGAACGCATACAAGGACAGCACCTGGATTTTGCCCATAGGATGATGTCCTCTGAAGATTTATGCAAAGTAACGTTATGGTGACATTATTTAGTCAACTTTACCAAAGCCCTACATACTAAAGTTTTCCCATTACTTCAAAAATAGTCCCTTTCCTCCTGTAACATGCCTCATTCTAACAACACGTGGATGACCATGTGCCTGTAATACATTCAGATAACAAGGAAATATAACAGGGAATAGTCCGCATTTATATTGTAATTTTACTTTCAGTTAATTCCCCCCATGCATTGTCTTACTGTACTCTTAAAATTCTTTGAACTAAAGAGAACAGACAATTGACAATAAATTGTTAAACTTTTCGTCTGAGACCCTAAAATGGTGTGTACCGTAAGAGATACCTGAAAACGAAATTTCCCAATTTTCTTTAGTAAAAACCCTTTCATTTACTGTTTTGAAAGCTTTTTAATGCTACTTAAGCAGCCCATTTATTTTCACTCAACAAGTAATTTCCAGCTGAAGAGGGGCTCCGATTTCCCATGTTGACGCATGGACGGTGCCCGGACCCTAGACCGCGGCTGTCCTGTGGCGTCCCTGGGTGGGCAGAGCGCCAGGTGGCCCCCGGCGGTGGGCCGGCCTGTGACTCCATTTACTTTTCCTGCTGGGGCTCAGACCAGCCCCCCGTTTATGTGTCAGGAACCTGAGCGCGTAGGCAGGGCAGGGGGAGGGGTGCGGTTCCCTTAAGCGCCCGCGTGTCGTTGGCTGTCAGGTGGGCCTTGTCACGCTGTCCATCCCCATTTAACGACCCCACGAGATCTCTTAATGAAGTTAAGCCCCAAGTTCACGGCGATAATTCCGCGGCAAGAGTTTGCGCAGTGTAACAATTCATCACTTGTCAGGAGGGCACTTTTAGTTTATACACTTAATAAGGGCATCCTCGAGCTTGGTTAATTAGAAGTGAACAGTCTGCATATTTACTAAATGCGGGGTGTCATTGCCACCACGGCCTATTGCCTGCATGAATTATTTCTCTATCTGCCATAAACAGCTGGGTAATTATTACTGCCATGATCAGACACAGTCCCCCCGTACGGCTTCTCTCACGGCGGTTCTCTGAACTCATCCAGAGCCGCACAGAATTTATGAACCCCAGAGGCTCGGCCGCTTTTTCATAACGCCGTGTCCCCGCTTCCGATCTCAAGGACACGGGCGTCCTGTAAACAGGGTGGACAAATAAGATTGCCTGAAGATAGCATTTCCGCGGACCTCATTTAAAAAATACAGCGTTCTGATCTCAGCCAGCCTGACTTTCTCTAATTGCGTCCAGAGGACGGGCTTTCTTAGTAAAGGCTCCTCCCTAAGTGGAAAAGAAAGTAACAGTTTACTTTTCAAGAACCAAGTTAGCCTGGGATGTCAACTATACGTGTGAATTTTTTTCTCCCTCCTGTAGAGTCATTTTCTATATGAAGATGCAACAATTACAGCAATTAATTGGGTAGAATTTACGTAACAAACCAGTGTGACCATATGTGGTATTTAGTTAAAATACCATATATATTCTTTGCTCTGAAAACAGCCTGTACCTTACCCGTAATTAGTAATCAGTGACATAAGCCATATAATCGCTTTAAAATACCGAATGACACCAGCATTCTCTCTCTTCCAATTCTGTGACTCCCACCGCCGCCTGTATTCTGACGATCCACAAATCCGAATATTCTCCAGCCCAGAGTTTCCTTCCACTTATTATAACCATCTATCCGGAGCCCTGCTAACGTTGCCGCGTGGACATCACAGACACCTCGAGCTAATCACGTCTGCGTAGAAAATAATCATTTTCCCAAACCTATCCTTTCTTGTCCTGGCTCTGTTACATTTCCTTCCCTTCTAAGGGCTCCGTCCTAAGAGATGGTTTAAAGGTCCTAGAACCATGCAAAATGCAAGCACTAGGATTGTATTGGCAGAGCATCTTGTTAGCATAAACAGCTAAGCAAACTCAAAATAGATAACTTGCATTATTTTCTTAAATAGTTATAATACTTAAAAACATGGGCCTCTGAGGGGGGAAAGTGGTGACGTGTGTCTCAGCCACAATATTCTTGCAGCGTGAGAATTTCTAGAGTTCACGTAGACCTTAAATAGAACAGAAATCATGCGATAAGGAATTGCGTGCAGTGACTTCATAAAACATGACTTTATTTTTTAAATGCTTTTCCATTACCACTTGGCAGCGCCGCCCCGTTTTCCCCTTCCCGCCTCCTTGCCCATCTCCCCGCTTCCTCTCAGGGGTGACCCTGAGGAGAATGGACGGACAGGTTGTCTGTCTGTCTCTCTCTCTCTCCCTCTCCCCTTCCTCCCGCCGCTCTGCAGTCTTTTCTCCTCCTGCCCAGCCACAGATACGACGGGGTTCTGTTTGGCTTTCCCATGGGGGCGATCCCCAGGCTCGATCATAAAGCAGCGGGTCCATGTGGTTCCCTAAAACCCGTGCGATGGTTTTCTGACATCACAGGTGACCTGCCGCTTTCAAACACGTCGATGTCACCCCATGGCACGTTACTGCTTTACGACAGCACCAGGATGAGCTTGGAGATGACCCTGGTCTGTGTTGAGTGGACTCCATGCAGAAGCAGTAGCGATTACTTTTGCTTTAAAACGAAGTTAACAGCCCGGCCGGTCTTGGCTCAGCTGTTGAGCATCGCCCTAGGATCCAGGAGATCGAGGTTCGCTTCCCGGTCGGGGCACAGGCCCGAGTTGCGGGCTCGATCCCCAGTCGGGGGCCTGCGGGAGGCAGCTGATCGATGACTCATCATTGATGTTTCTCTCTCTCCCCCTCTCCCTTCCTCTCCGTGAAATCAGTAAAGATATATTTTTAAAAAATGAAGTCAGCACATTTTAAACGAGAGGCAGCATGTGATTTTTGAGGGAGCACCAATTACTAAGATCTTCCAGTTCTCTTCGTATGAAACGGGAGCTCCAGCCACCTCAGCTCTGAACTGCTCCCCGAACCAGCCTTCAGCAGCTCGGTCTCCCGCTCAGCTGAAGCGCTGCTGGCCGCAGAGGGGACAGAGGTCCTCGCCGGCCTTTCTGCAGGGAGGCCCCTCCCCGCGTCTCGGTCCCCACCTGCCAGGCCTTTCTTCTCACGAAAAGCAGGAGCCCACTGAGGGACACCCACCCCTTTCCACCCCAGGGGATGTCCTGAGGGCGGGCTAATGTCCGGGAAGTGCTTGGAGCCAATGCCATTCTCAGTTATTTAACATCATATATGATACGACACGTAAGGTCTTTACTTCTGATTAGAGAAACTATCCAGAAGAGTGAAAAGAGAATAATTTTACAGTGACATAGATGCATGTTTTCAGAGGGAGCACTGCACAGAAGAATTCTTTCCAAGGGAGTTCATTCAGAAGAGCCCAAAGTAGGAGAAAAATTGATTTTCATGAGTGACCTTTTGAATGAGGTCTTACTGCTTTTTAAAATCAGGCAAAGCAGGCAAATGAAATAATGGAGCCATCGGACGATCCCCGTTTATGATCGGAGTGAAGTCATGGTATTGTAATTTTATAACATTGACCATTATCATCTCGTTTACATTTTTCGTTCTCAAAATACCTCATCTAGAGAGTACCGATTCACCAGCGCTGCCTTCAGAGAGTCCACTCACCCTTGGGCAGGAAGCTTTTCTTCTAGTCTAATGTGCATTTCCCCCGCTTTGCTGTTGAGGGACCAAGCCTACCAAAGAGAGTGAGATGAGAGATCCTTGTGCACGGCCCAGCCTCGTTTCATCACAGTCTCCTCTGGTCCAGCTCTGTCTTTGGTGAAGGCATGTGCCCTTCAGCACCCTGATGGGGGAGAGAGAGAGAGAGAGGGAGGGAGAGAAACACTGATTTGTTGCTCTACTTATTTATGCGTCCATTGGTGGTTTTTTGTGTGTGCCCTGACTGGGGATCTAACCTGAAGCCTTGGCCTAGCAGGACGTTGCTCTAACCAACTGAGCTACCTGGCCAGGGCCTTGGTTTTTATATTTTTATAATATGGTAACTAGTCACACCTATCCCATATATATCTCAGGGTGATTGTTTTTTTGAGAATAGAAATAAGACAGTATACCTGAAATGATTTGGAAAAACAAAAAGTACTGGATTTAAGAACCCCTGCATTAAAAAAATTAAAAAATACTTTTTATAATTTTGTAGGGCATCTTAGAAAATTAGAATGGTTTTCATCATTTAATCTTTAATGAGATCATAACTTTTATTACATCACTTACACTGAGGCATATCTTCACCCCTCTTGACGTAACGAAAGCCTGCAGATCAAGGATAAATCATTCATTCCCCTCTTGCTACTTGGTCATGTAACCAAGACTGATTACCCCAGGTTAGGTTTTCTAGTACTTTCCCAAGTTTCTTGGGATTGTTTTCAGGGCTTCCCAGTTCCCTCTGGGGGTATCGTGTGTTTTCTTCGTGTGCTGGAAACTGACATTCTGTTGCGTATCCCTCAGTTTTATCTCTCCTCGTTGAGCTCCCCGAGTTCTCACTGTTTATAGTTTACGTTTCTGTATCCTGAAGATGGACTGTTTTCACTACTTCCAATAATTTATGGTTTTGATTTTGTGTCAGATCCTATGTACTTATTTATGTCTCACCTGTTCGTGTATGTGTTCGTTATATGGGGCCTTTTTTCTTTCTTAGGTAAGATCTCTTCAGATTCATTAAATAATTTGTAAAGCACAAACTTCTTTGTAGATACGATTGTTTTATTCTAACGATTGCTCAGAAAATTACTGTATTTATCTTTGGAGGCACGTAAAGTGGATACATGCATATCTGAGTAATTACTCTGGTAGTGACAGTTCACTGGTTATTTTAAATTACCTTAAAGACTTAAAAAAGGAATTATGGAAGAAATATTTATTTTCCCATAATATAAAAAGTAAAGATGAAAATTAATAACCGATTCAGTTTTTTATGTAACATACGATTGTTATTTTTTCCTGGTAAAAACGCTCATTTATTCACAAGTACCTGCCTTGAAATTTGTACGTTAAGGACAAAGAAAGGTCACCACTCACTCCTGGTTCTTTGTCAAAAATGGACACAGTTAATGAGGTTTGTTTGGTACAGAACAAATTCCCAGACACAGATAGAGATCCTTTCAATGGAAACAAATTTGTTTGGCTTTGCCAGGTTACTTAGCGATTAATAATAGCCTTGAGGGGCAGGTCAGCCGGGTCATTGTACCAGCTTCCCAGCACAATCTAACCGTGCAGCCAGCCCGGCTCTGTGGGCGCACGGGCCCCCCAAATACTATGCATGAAGGAAAGCGAGCTATTTTCTGACTCCTTTTTTCATATTAATAAGCAATTTTCAAGAGAAGAGTGGCAAAATGAGGGCCATGCTACTCCAAGTAATTCATTTATTTTGCAATTTAATCTTATGTTGAAAAAAATTGCTGGGCTGCGGGAGCCTAGCATGGTGATTTTTAAACGTCATAAGTAACCTTGTGTGAAGTGTTGTATTAGTGGCCTTTAACTGAAACTTGCACCAGAAATATTCCTAGACATTGAAGGAGAAATAAGCATCTTTTCTTTCTGGAATTTCCCCTCTGCTTCCAGCCCGATAGGTTTGAGGTGAAGACTCGGGATTCACTTAGTATTTTACTTACAGAACCAGACAGGAAGTTACATGTCTATTTTTCTAAAAGAATCAAGTCCAACCGCAGAACATTATCTTAATAGGAATAGTTAAACTTGTTCTATTAAAACCAAGGATAGATATTTACAGAAGTTATTTATTTTTCCATGTTCTATTTAAGGGTGTTTTTTGCATAGTATATTTTAAAACTTTATTGTTTCTGTTTAAGTTTCTTAGACACACACACGCACACGCACATTATTTTAAAAGTTTTATTATTTTAATGGAATTTATTATGCTTATAAAGCCAGTAACTTACCCAGGTAATTTAGCTTTTATTCTGATTATCTACATAATTGGACAAAATGTCAACTTTTCAAGTGCAGGATAATATATGTAATGATGTTGATATTATTTGAATTGTTAACAGAAATAAACTTATGATGAATTAAGCATATGTGTAAAAGCCCATCACACTTAAAAATCAGACCATTACTTAGTATATAAAAAAATGATTAGAGACTTATAAATTGAAAATCAAAACTTTAAGGAAATCAGCAGATCAAATATTTCCTTAGGATATTTAAGGACTTCCAAAATAGTTCATCTTCAATCAAAGAAATTACCATAGTAATTCACTTACTTGGGATTTGATATAGTTCCTCAACTATTGGGCTAATAATTATAAATTTGATTTTAAACATTTAACCACTGAAAAATTGCTGTAAGTGCCATTTAAAGATTACAGGCTCCACCTGAAGCGTGCGGGTAAGACGGACACAGCACTGATTTTCCTTGGTGCGGGTGATGGCCCCTCGGAAGCTGCTTGATGGCTTGTTGTTAGCAGGCCCCTAGCCGTCTAACCGCAGGCTGCTTTGGCGCAGGGAGGCCCTGGACGAGTTCGCGGAGATGAAGGCGCAAGAAGAGAGGAAGGCGGCCCTGGAGAGGGAGCGGCAGGCGAGGGACCACCAAGCCCGAAAGATGCATTACCTCCTCAGCACGAAGCAGGTGGGTGTGCCGGCCTGACAGCCCCCCGAGCCCCGCACCCGGCCTGACAGCGACAAACTGGCCGCCCCAAAGGGACAGGACGCGTTGGAAGGTCCCTCAAAGACACTACTTCGAGTTCAGTTCCGCGCCCGTGGCAGCCAGTGGCAGCCAGTGGCTTCAGGGAGGCCCCTGCCCGAGGCCGAGTCCAAGTCAGCGGCGTGGTGTCCCACCTGGTCACACAGCACCCAGGGCGTGACCTCGCTTTCCAAACCCGTGAACCCATTCCGAGGGGCTCGTGCTATGATGGGGACTGACCCAGAACTGACCAGTTGCTAAGCTGACTCAGCTCTCAGGTTTCTTGCACCCTTTCCAAATTCCGGTGCAAGTTTCCAGGTACAGCTGTTATCATAGAAAAACACATGTGGAATTTGGGAAACTTAGGCATTTATTGTCTTAACAGTTGGTAACATCGCAGGGCCTCCTATCTTGTTATGTTTGCTAAGAAAAAAATACGTTGCATGTAGAATATTCTGCTCACAAGTACGGTTCTAAAAAGGCATGAATCTGAGGGGTGGGGTCTTTTGAGGCTTGAAATTTAGGCAGGAAATAGCAACTTGTGGGTTTTTATTTTTCCTTCTGGACTTTCAAGGCCAGTCTCATAATTCTAGACAGAGTCACATATTTGAATGTTTTTGGACATGAGCAGGTCAAGTCCCAGGGGTGGAGGGTGGGATCTGAGACTCGGTCTCATCCTTAGAGGCCTCCAAATCCAAAAACATATGGGGGACTGACTGGGTTGGCCGAGTGCCTTTGCAACCCAGACCTCCTGCACCTCTGGCCTCCGTTTCGTCTCCTAAACCACAATCCTTGTCAGTTGTGACGACTCTCTCAATATTTACTTCGATCTGTACAGCTCAGTTATCTGCATTTAACAGGCAAGGGAACTGAAACTCGGAGATAATTTAAAGATAATTTTAGAAATAAAAAAAATCAAAGTATTTCCACTTTTTCTTTATAAAATCCATAACAGTGTAAACATTTTAGCTGTATGGTTGGTGAGCTACATTTTTTTAAATACAGAATTACACATAGAGAATTCTTTTTAGCAAAATAGTTTAAAAAAAAACAAAAAAAACTTGACCTTCAAACCTGAAGACGACTCAGAGGCTGAAGGACACACACTCAGGCTGAGTTGTCGTTGCTGGTTGGCTCGGCGTGCGGGGCTCTCAGGGAGGAATTAAGCTGCAGACCTGAAAACAGCCCTGAGTCAGGCGTTCACAGATGAACTCTATTGCTCCTTTTAAGGCTCTTCATTTCAAATTACATTAAATATACATTCAAGTACAAAAGAAAAGCCGAGTATGAATTCAGTATTTATTCAGTAAGTCTGGGCCAGTTTTATTCTCAACTCATGCAAATATTTCAAAACTCCCTGAAAGAATATTCAAGTGTAAATAATTTGTATCAGAAGTATGTCAGGATAAGAAACGTTTTGTTAACCTGCTTAAAAGATCAATTCTAGTAGCATTTTAGCAAGGAGAGGAGCACTCTTTGATTAGTGATTTCAATAACTTAGACATGACTTTAGTTTGTAGAAGACTATTCTTGTGTGAAACTCACATAGCTCTAGTATAGTTTAACTTCAATAAGTAGAAGTAAAACATTAATTCGCACAAATAGTGCTTCAGAAAAGGTGAATATTTTCGTAAGCCGAAATTGTATTTGTAGATTCAGACATAGAAAATTAATGCAATCACGTGTTATTTAATATATTAGTAATTTTAGGACAAATATGCTGATATGCCGACATTCTCATACTGATAGCATAGTTTTAAAGTCAGTTTTAAGCTCACTTTTAGTACAAATACAATGTCTATCTTAAAGGTTCTAAAATCTATTCCTAATTTTTACTGATATTAATTGTCTCATCTTTATGCAAGCAAATATGTTAGCACAAATAGAAATCACACGACTAAATAATACTACAATGAGTGAATTAATAGGCCCCTCAGGGTTTTATTAATTAAAAAGTTCAAGTCATATTAAAGCACCTTTTGTATATGTTTATTTCAATCAGAAAGCTGAACAGGGTGACTTATTTGCATAAATAATCAATCACGATTTACTAGTAGTAATAAGGTTAATTTGTTGCTGCCGACATAATAGGATTAGTTGATTATATTTCCTAGAAAATACCGTTTGTTATGCGCCCCATCACCTATAAAGCAGGATTGGGTTTAGGGCCCTTATTAAGCGAGCACATCAAAAAAGTCTTTGTCCCTGTAAAAGTTTTATGAAAAGAGAGCTAATCTTAGTTGATCTGAATAAAGTAAAATGCAAACATTGCCTCCATTCGTAAATGTAATTTATCTTCCTGCAAAGATTGATTATTTAATAAAGTTATTTATTTTGATTCAGTAACCAGTCAAACTAAATCTAACACATACGGGACGCATTCCCTTTGAAGAAAATCTCATTTGCAGATTTGTCCTGTTCCAGATAAACCGACTCCGTTCCCTTGTCCTTGCTGCCTGGTGGCAGATCACGTCTGCGCCACCTACTGGTGGCCGCACGCAAAGGCCTGTCGTCGGCCTCGTGGAAAGATGCTGCCTCTCGGGTGCCGCCCGAATTTTTTGGAAGCGCCTCCTGGAGATCAGCAAAGTGACGGATACAAATGTGAAGCTCGAGATCTAAGTCATAAATAGTTAATATTTAGAAGTATACACCACCGCATAGAATTACACTAATAACAGTTTCCCAATTCATGAGAATAATACCCTGTTTTCATTTCAGTCTGCTAATAAAAACAGGATGAATTAATATAAAATGGGTTAATTTAGTATATAGAACCATCTCTATTTTAGTCTAGCTATGGCATTTAACAGAGTATGCATATTCATGTTAAAATGAAAATTTATAACTTTAATTAAAATTTGTACGCGTGTTTTGCGGGAATACTTTTCACCTTACCCCTTATATAGTAGGTTTTCGGTGCTTCCCCTCTTGTGAGTAGTGGAAATCTCCATATGGTCGCTGAGAGAACAGTTTTCATTATGATTCTTTACAAAGTTAACATTGATTACGCTTTCTTTCAAAATATTTTATTTTTGGGGGGCGAGAAACAGATAGTTTTGGCTATTCTAATTGCAAATCATATCCCATCTGTGTACAGAAGGAAAAAATCTTAAATATAATTTGGATACGCCCCAAATTAATCGGCAGTCTATTGACGCAGACACCGTGTTTATAAGACAAGCCTCGTGCGGTGAGAAAGGCGTAAGTTAAGAAATACGGGTACGGCTTCCAAAGCATTTACTGCTTTCAGCTGCCTTCGCAGTGTTGTAAGTGCAGTGACCCTGCGCCTCGTATATGGGTGCGCGGCATGCGATCGCTCACGTCTGCTTTGAGGCGATGACGTCGCAGGAGTGGCTCCTGCCCGTGTGTGTGAGAAGGGCCCTCGCGTACGTGGCGCGATCGGAAAGCCTCTTCGGGGGCCTCCTCGTGAGGCACCGCCCTTGGGTGACGGCGCACCGGGCAGTGGCCGGGGACCTCGGCTGTGATGTTGAGACCTGCTCCCCGTAAGGACTCTCCGGGCTGTAACTTCGGGCCTCTCGGTCATGATCGCAAAACCCCGTCTTGGACTCCAGAACATTCCTTTTGCTCTTCCCAGTTTGGAGGTTGGACCGTTTCTCTGAGTTCAGAGGAAGTTGGGGGGGGGGGATAGTAGAGATAGGTATGTGGAGCCCCAAAGCATTCGTTTTATCAGTGATGAAAGCTGGATCTGAGGCCATAATGAGCTCGCTTCCCCTTAATCCCACACGTCCCCGCTCAGTCGCAGGCAGAGCGGGGACACCGCGCCTGGCCTTGCACATCCCAGAGCCAGCGGGAGGGAGCCAGGGCTGCTGATTTCCCAGCGGCAGGAATAACTAACCAGGCAGGGCCCCAGACAAGGCGGGGAAGGACGGGGAGCCGGGCCGCGGGGACCTGAACCTCTGCCGGGAATGAAATGACCGCAGGGCCCCACAGGGATAGCCTTCTGTAGGGGAGGCTGGCGGGGTCACCAAGAGGAGGGACGGGAGATGATTTGGACGCTGCCAGGGCTGTGAGTCAGCTGGACAAGCAGCGATCGGCGCCAAAGCCCGAGGGACTGCCCGGAGGCCTAGGCCTCGGCCGAGGCCGCCGCACCGCTGGTCGGTGGTGGGACAGGCCTGGGGAAGTCACCGAGGCCGGAAGACAGGCAGGCGACCTCCGTCCAGTTCTTGGAGGAACTCACGGAACAGTGGCCTGGCACTTACAGATGAGGAGACAGAGGGACCCATCAGTCAGGGAGGTTTCCCAGACAGTCTCCTGTGTGCGGTCGTTCTCCAGAAATCTTTCAAAATGCAGTATGGCTAAAGGGAAATCCTGAGTGAAAATTAAAAATTTAAAATAAAAATAAAAAAAGAGAGACAGAGAGCCTTTCCGTCCCAGGGTTTTCGCCCGAGTCACCATGCTCTTGCCCTGTTTGGGGAGGCTCCAGCCTGCCCGCGCGCTCAGGGAGTTACAGTGTGACGCCTGCCGCAGGCACAGGGCCCGCGCCCGCAGAGGTCACCTATCACCTTCTAATTACCATCCAGCCCTGCCCGCTCGGTCCCCACGCCGCCCCACCTCTCGCTGGCTCCTGACACCGCCGACCTCCCCCGTGGAGCCGTCTTCTCGGCGCCCCGCGTCCCCCGGCGCCGCTTGCTCTTGGAGTGCCCTTCGTGGGCCCGCCGCCCCTCGTGTTTCTGCACAGGCCCGCCTCGCTCTTGGGCTCTTCCTGGACACTGGTTTATTCTGTGTTTTTGTTTTTTTAACAAATCGCAGGTCTGTGGCGACCGCCACCCACCTCTGTGTCTTCACTCTCACCCTTCCCGCAGCCTGGGGTGCCTTTCTCCGTGTTTGATCGCCAGGGTCCTACCGTCTTCAGTGCAGGTTCAGACACCTCTCCCGGAGTTTTCTCAAAAATAAATACCTTTCCCACGGCCCCTGGCGCGCCCCCCTTTTACAGCAGTTATTAGGGGACACTTGCTACCGGCTGGTTACGGCACCGTTGGCCACAAAATCATTCTCTGGGTCCCACCCTCCCTGCCGCTGAGAAGGCGTGATGGGCACTGATCACTTTTTTTAGACCCTGCAAGGTGTTTCTTAATTAGTAGATGCCCTATATTATTGCACTGAATTAGTTATACAGAGAATGGCACCTTATTAAGTTTCTTCATTTTAATCGACTTTTTGTGAGGATACTTTAATATATGATAAGAATGGTTACGACGTCAAAATGATTTATAAAAATCGCTTTTAACCTAAAGAAGCCAGCGACGTCCGGGCTCTGTGTATAACTTGACCCCTCTAGAATCTGACCCCAACCATTCAGAAATTCTCTTTCTTAGCCAGTAATCGTGTGTGTGTGTGTGTGTGTGTGTGTTTTAACTTTAATTCTTGCTTTACATAGGTAAGTTCTATACCAAGCACCTCCTTGCAAATCCCAATGTGTCCCCGAAATCGTCCTTCCCCGCGGGGAGCCACATCCCAGGGTTAAGGCGACCACGGTCTGAAATGCAGGTGTCAGTCGGCGTAACCGCTCGGGCTGAGAAATGACCGCGTTTCCTTTTTGTCCCCAGCAAGAGTAATTGAATGTAGAATATCTGAGTGAACGCCGGACTGTGGCAGTGCGCTCACACCCCGCCCGGCTCCTAACAGCAGGGCAATTATTTGCTGAGCGGGGCTCTTATAAATCCCCCGGCGCGCCCCTGTCCTGATAATTATGATGAAGTGCGGTGGCCGGCGTCCCCCCGGCGGGCTCATCCCCGCCTCTCGGGCCCGCTTTCCGGCTCCCGGTTAGTGGGGATCTTTCTTACCCTCCCCTGTGCTTGCTCAGGGTCTCATTTCTTCAAAGCGTTTTGCAGTGAAAACTTAGAGCCCACGCGGAGTTCAGACAGCCCCCCTCTCACGACGGCTCCTCTCTCCCAGAATTCACGAATCCTGAGTCCTGCAGCCAGGGGACGCTTTCTCATTTTGTTCCAGTTTTTGTGGCGATCGGCGACTCCTGCTTGCTGCGTGCTTGTCCCTTGCAGAAGTTAAAGTTGGATGTTCCCAGAATGAGCAGTTACTTTGAAATCGTGAGAAACGATGATCGTTCAGATGGTAAAACATGAAATCGAAGCACTAATCGCTGTGCTCTGGGAGTTATAGGCGTCTGCAGTCCTGGTTCCAGCTCTTTCCATTTTGCAGAAACTTGCTTTAAAAGTAAACCTCAATAACAAAGAGAAAGGGGGGGG